ACAAATAGCTATAACCCATCCCTACCAATAAGGTTTTACAATTTTTTTTACAAAAATGTTTTGTACCTTAGCCATTTTATTTTGCAATTCCAGTTCTTTCTAAAACAAGTTGACAAACTTTAAATAGTGTTCAAGGCGTCAAATGCCAAATGACAAAAATACTATTTATGACTAAAATTAAATAGCAATAATATATTTTTCTATCGAAAAATAGTTTTATGTTTTAATATAACCAATCCCAAGACATCAAGCCATTGAAGCCTTGCATAACGTATTATGTAGACCATCCTAATATTCCTGCAATGCAGAAAGTCAGCTCTGAATTTGTTCCCAATAGTTTGTGAGACTGATTCAAACCCATATGTCCAATTAATTTATCTGCCCCAATCTCAACTTCTAATAACTAAAACCTAAACGGTGAATTCCATTGGATGGGCTATTTGGTCGTGATAGTTGATCCAACTATGTAGCTAGTTATTTATGTATGTAGCAGTTATACATACACTCAATTATACAAAATTGAGTGTACCTAACCCAAAATTCATTTCAATTAACTTGTCCTGTTGTGGAACTTATCGATAACTTATTACATAAAAGGTTTGTACAATGTGGTGTAAATTACCCAAAACACTCGTATTTACTTAAACTTGATTAGCCGGTTTCAACTTTGAAAGTTAAACAGAGTCCAAGAGATATGAACTTGTGGTTATAGCTACACTATTATTTGCCTTACGTTATATTTAACGGAAACAATTCGTAGTGTTTTATGTTACCAGTTCACCTAGACCATCTATACAATTAAGAATAATATTAACTGACCCAAGCTATTTGTTTGTCCTTTTTCTATGGGCGTGAATAAGGTAAAAGAAAACATAATAGTGGAGTTATCCTTTTGTATTCGGTCCTTAAAATGGGCACAGACCTGATAATAAATCAAAACAATTACACAAACAAGATGTGTCAAGTGAAGTATTTTAATAGTATTGATAAGTTTTAGGAATATTTATTTACCATATTACGTTACATGTAATAATATACATGTAATACGTTAAAGTAGTAATAGCACATCATAGAACTAATTTTAAATTTTTAAGATAATTATTTAAAGTATAAATTTATATAATAATAATATTAATAACAAATCACTCGCAGAGCCATAATATAAACCAAAGACAACCACTAATACAATACAAAGCCAATTACAAGTTTGCAGAACACATTAACAGAGATACACTGTCCACTGTCCACACATTGGTCCTATGGGACTTGTACCATACAGGTCGAAACCTGTTTGCGATCTGTTGGTAATATTAAATTGACGTTACACTTAGATTATGAAATATGTAAACACGAAGAGACTTGTGTGAAAATTGCGCATTTTATTAGAGCTAAAACATTTTTGTTGCAAAATGCATAATGCAATACCCTTTTACCTTTCGAAGATAATAATTGCTTTTAACTAAATAAATGAATTACGAGTAATTGCTAGGCTTTAGTTACGTTGTATAATATAGTATGATATATAGTATATGATTCGTTTCAGTGAACGATGTCCAAACATGTGCATGAAAATAAATACCGCTTGGATAATTGAGTTTTAAACATAATCTATATATGTGTACATAATGAACTTAATTAGCCTACAATATAACATTAGTTAACAGTAGTTGTAACAAAACTCTTAAATTAAACTGATTTTCTACAAAAATTAAAATAAACCAGTTTTAAAAAGTTACATTTTTTGTTTATTATATTTCTAAAAAACAATTATAACATTATTTAGACATATGCAAATTAATAACATGTGTTTCTCAAAGTGTTTATAAAAAATAATCCAAAGGGGACTAAGTTAAAAAGTTAAACATTTCCAACATTCTCCCCCCTTTTTAAAAAAATCTTCAAACTCTTTCACAAGTCCAATTTGGTTGGCTTTTTTATTCTTCTCCCACTTTGGGTCAAAACTTGTGTTTCATTAGTCTTTACATTTGTCTCTTCTTTTCCTTTTGTCGTATTATAATGAGTTTCAGGTTCAGGTTGACAATTTTGAGCTTTATGAATGTGGTCATCCTTAGATTGAACTTCAAGTGGATAAAGCCGTTGAATAGGTCGTCAATAAATTCCATTTTTCGTTCTTACATTTACAAGTCTTGTTACTTTGTCTTTCCCAGGAAATATTTCGATCACTTTTCCAAGAGGCCAAGAAACTCTTCGTTTATTTTCTGAATGGACGAGTACAATGTCTCCCACATTGATTTAACAAGTTTTGTTTACGTTCTTTTTAGAGGAATTTAGAAAACCCAAGTATTCCTTTTGAAATCTTGTTCTTAGTCCTTCTCGAATACTTAGTATATACTTCCATCTTCTGTTCAAACTTGTCTTCTCTAATAAATCTAAATCTGATACATCATTACCTTGTATAGATTGGATGAACATAGATGGTGTCAGGGGTTTTAAATCTTCAGTGTCTTCTGAGATGTATGTGAGAGGTCTACTGTTCATAATACCTTAACACTCACATACCAAGGTGTTCAGTTCTTCATGATTTAGTGAAGCACTTCCTAAGTTTCGTCTCAGTAGCTCTTTCAGAATCCTCACCAAACGTTCCCAGAAACCTCCCCACCAAGGGGCAGCAGGAGGATTGAATTTCCAAACGATATTCTTTAAGTTGAATTCATTTTGAATTTTACTCCAGTTAAGATTCTTAAGTTGATTACTCAAACCAACAAAATTGGTCCCATTATCGGTATAGATGACATTTACTCTTCCTCGACGAGAAATAAATCTTCTTAAGGCTAAAATGAAGGCATCAGTGCTCAATGAAGGAATCAATTCAAGGTGTACAGCCCTATAAACTGCACATGTAAATATTACAACCCAGCATTTCTTCTTCTCTCTTGTTATGAGTGGGCCTGCAAGATCAATGCCTGTGACTTGGAAGCAAGAAGTCAAATTCGTCCGGTCTTCAGGTAGAGGAGCCACAGGAGCTTGACATGGCTTGGTTGAAAACCTTTTACAGGGTATACATTGATGTGTGACTCGGCCAATAGTCCTCCTCCCTTTCAAAATCCAAACTTTTTCCCTCAAAATAACTAATAGTGCTTGAACACCAGCATGCTTACTGTTAATATGTTGTTGTTCAATCATTCGTTCTGTTATAATGTGATTAGATGGTAACACAACTGGGTGAGTATATTCTTTGCTGTATTCTTGATCCAGTAATCTTGTATTCAATCTTATAAGACCATCTTCATTAATAATGGTTTTAACTCCACTTAAATGTTTACTTTTCTTCTCTCCATTGAAACTGTCTCTTTGCACAAGTTTAAACAGGTATTTCTCTGCTTGTTGAAATTCTTCTGACGTTATGTCCGAGCTCTTCTTCTTGGTTTTAAACCGTAACATCCAAGCTATGGTTCTTACAATCGAAGAGTATTTAGAAAATCTTTGTCCTAACATGACAGCAATTGATAAGGTCTCAACGGTGCTTGCGGTAATCACTGACTTCTTCTTTTCACTCTCAACTGTTTCTCTGTCAGGTAAAGGATTTTCAGTTGGCCAAGCATTGCTATACAACCATGTTGGTCCATTCCACCATTGTGAATTGAGTAACTGTTGTTGTAAGCAACCTCTTGAAATTAGGTCTGCGGGATTTGCATGACTGGAAACATATCTCCATTGCGATGGATTACTAAACTTATTTATTTCTTTGACTCTATTGTTTACAAATACAGACCATTTCCCTTGATTGGTAATCCAAGCTAGTGTAACAGAAGAATCTGACCAATAGAAACAAGGTAAGTCAGGTTTACCTAGACATTGAAGAGCCAAGGTACAAAGTCTTACACCAAGGAGTGCTGCCATCAGTTCCAACCTTGGTAACGTAATTGGTTTCACTGGCGAAACTCTAGATTTGGCTAGCACTAAACTAACATGTACAGCATCATCAGCTTCAGTCCTCAGAAATATACAGGCTCCAAAAGCGGATTTGCTAGCGTCACAGAACACATGAAGTGTGCTTGAGTTATTCATAATGATTCGACGTTGAATTTTACACTCCTCAATAATTGGTGTTTGTTCAAACCATTTTTGATACTCAGACTGGAGATGTTCTGGTAATATATCATCCCATCCAATTTTTAAACTCCAAGTCTTTTGCAAAATAACTTTTGGGATGAGTGTCATAGGGGCAGTAAAACCTATGGGGTCATAGATTTTTTGTGTGTGGGATAGTAATGATCTTCGAGTTAATTCCTCAGGTTCCAAGTTTGAAAATGAAACATTACAAAACAAAGTGTCTGAAGAACAGTCCCACTTTAACCCTAAAACGTTTTGTGTTGTTGGCTCAAAGTTTCCAGCCCATCCCCTTAGGTTGAATTCTCTAAGCCTCAAAATGTCTTGTGCTTGTCTTACCAATGAATCTCGATCATTTTCATTGTCTACACCCGTCAAACAGTTGTCTACATAAAATGATTTCTGTAATTTGTCAGCTACAGACTTCAAACAATCTGGTGCATTACATAATAAATTATTGATTACAGCTCCTAACAAAAAAGGACTACATGTTAGTCCAAATACGACTCTAGTATGTCGATAAATCACAACTTTTCCTTCCTCCCACCATAAAAACCTAAGCATGTCTCTGTCTTTAGGGGACACAAGAATTTGGAGAAATGCCTTTTCAATGTCAGAAGTCAAGCCAAATTTATGTTTCCTCAGATTGGTTAGTACGTTTGGAACCAACTCAATCAAATTTGGACCTACTTCAAGACAATCATTTAAACTACAACCATTTTTGTCCTTACACGAGGCATCGAACACTGGTCGTATTCGAGTAGTGCTCCCTTCTTTAATGACTGCTCGATGAGGAAGGTAATGAACAGAATTAACAGTTTGGTCCAAAGAAGTTTCTTCTTTTTCAACCCTTTCAATTATTCCCTTGTTAACCCATTCTTTAAAAGTAGCATCATAGTCTGCATATAAATTCATATTTTTCAGCTTACTTGTAGTTGTGAGTAGACGTTTCTCAGCTACATACATATTGGACTCCAGTGAGGGTCGTCCTTCAACCCAAGGAAGTTGTACGATGTAGCGGCCAGTCGAGTCTCTTGTCACAGTATCCTCAAAGAACTCTACCACTTGCTCGTCCTTTGCTCCCTTCTCCAGTTTCACACTTGGGTCTGTGATTCCCATCGTCTCAAGCTCCCAAAACTGCTTAACATTCTGTGAGGACTGTAAAGCAATAAACATAGATGAGACAAAAGATGAATCTCTACCAGATGATTCAGATGAACCAACAATCGTCCAGCCCAATCGTGTTTTTATGACCACAAGTTGGTCATTTACTTTGTAAAACTCCGAAGTGATAATTTGTGACCAAACATCAGCACCCAATAACACATCAATACTAGCAGAGTCTTCTTCGTCAGAGGTCGATATATCGCTCAAAATGATGTTATCTTGCTCCAAACGTTTTATCAAACTGTAGTCACAAAACTTGGGAATCCGGTTACAAATAACTTGTTGTTCTATAACTTGTAAATCTGTTTTAAAATCCAAGTTTAGTGAACTCAAAGTGATGCCATAAGTTTTATGGTATTTAGGTCCAGTTTGCTTACCTCCAAAAACTTCTTGTTGAATTAAAACTCTATCATTGCTTTTGAGGCCTAATTCTGATACACATTGGTTAGAAACAAAACTCTCTTGTGAACCTGAGTCGCACAAGATTCTAACCTTTTTTGATTTCCCATTACAATCAATAAAAGCATTCAAAGTCTGTAAGTAAGTAGTTTTGCTTTTATTGTTTACAGTAGAAGACGAATTTGTTGTATTTTTAACAGGGGTTATAGGCTTGTCCTTAGCACTCGGCTCAGCTTCATTAGTCGCATGGACTTTTGGACACAAGATTGCAAAGTGTCCACCCAAGCAGATGTGACATTTCACTTGTAATTTACACTTCTGAGCCCAGTGCCCCTTTTTCAAACACTTTATACATGCACCCTTTTTCTTTACAAGTTCATTTCTTTCTGATACTGTTTTATCGAAGATAGAAAAACAATCAGGCGAGTTATGGTTGGTTTTTCCACAAAATATGCAAAGATTTCTTCTTAAGTTGGTATTTAAATCTGTACCTACCTTTGCACTATTTTCAGATTGAGAAACAAGTATTGCTGCTGAAGGTGTGCTTGCCTTAGGTTTACCAAACCGCTGAGTTTTGGTTGAGTCTTTTTTAAGATCCACCTCGTGAGACTTCACGCCAAAACAGTTTTCACGCAACTTAAGCCTCTCCTCAGCTTCAACTTCGGTTCTTAGAAACTGAAGGAGTTCTTTCAAACAGTTATCTGGCTCTGTTGTGGATGCATTCTTATTAACACGATACCTTTCCCATATTTTAAAAATAGGTTCAGGTATGGCTGTTTCAACGAGAGGGAATAGCATGGCAGCATATTTCTCTTTGGTTACTCCCAATGATTCGAGAGCTCTTAGCTGTACTTCAAGCCTGTCATAAAGGCATGTGATTGACAAGTTATCAGTCTTATTTAAAACTAGAGCTAAAAGTTCCCTGACATAGTATTCAATAAGGAATTCTTCTTTTCCATATCCAGATTTAAGGAACTCAACTGCTTTCAAATAGTTTTCTTTTGACGGAGGAAAACATTCAATTAGTTTTTGAGCTGAGGAGCCTGGCTTCACAGATTGTAGTAAGTAATCAAACTTATCCTCATCTCCTAAACTATTATCATCATGGATTTTACTGAACTGAGACCAGAATCCTATCCAATTTTTAAGTTCACCATCAAATCTTTTAAGTTCTATTTTTGGAAGGCGTCTTTTATTGGAATAGGTTTTATTTGATTCACTACCAGGGTTAGCAACTAACTGCAGTTCTTGAATTTTCAAGCTTAATTGATGGTATTTAGTTGCATACTCATTAGTCCCTATAATTTCTGACTCAATTTCATCCTCTGTTACCTCCTCTTCACTAATTAGACTTTGCAAAACTACATCATTTAAAGAGCAAAGCTTTTCATAAGTTGTATTTAATACATTAAACCTGGCAACAATAGTTCTTAAATCTTCATTTTGGCTCAATAGGTTTTCAATAGCATTTACCTCTTTAGTAAAGACTGACCTGTAAGCTCTTCTTTGAAGTTCAGTCATTTTTATAATAAATCAAATTGTATTACGTGTACAATGATGAATATTTACTTCAAAATAATAACTCAAAACTATCTTGGCTCAGGGTCGCCATTAAATGTAACAAAACTCTTAAATTAAACTGATTTTCTACAAAAATTAAAATAAACCAGTTTTAAAAAGTTACATTTTTTGTTTATTATATTTCTAAAAAACAATTATAACATTATTTAGACATATGCAAATTAATAACATGTGTTTCTCAAAGTGTTGATAAAAAATAATCCAAAGGGGACTAAGTTAAAAAGTTAAACATTTCCAACAGTAGTTATGGGAGACATCTACTATTAACTAATTAAGGGTCATTTATTGTATCTTTTACTCTAAATAATGAGTCATTTATACCTCAATCATGTTAAAATTTTCACTAAAAGCAAACTAGGCTGTTTGAAATTCCATTTTCGACCGTTTCGTCTCTTAGTTACCATATTCCTGTAGTTAAAATTCAACCTGAGGATCAACTGTTATTAATAACAATTCACATTCAAAACCATTATAAAGAAGTTGGTCATCATCACCAAATCAGTAGAATAAATTGCTAGGGGGAATAAATACCAATCGCCCCTCGGCCAGATCATAATATTTAAAATTACACCTGAATCTGAAAAACCGGTTAAGTAGGACATGCGGAAAAAGAATGTTACAAAGAACCCCTTATTGTACTTAGTATATAATACTGTATATCAAATATTAACACATATTATAATAAACGTACTTTTTATGATGACTTTATATATATATATATATACTTTTTTTTATATATGACTTTTTTTGATAAAAAAAAAAAAATATATGACTGAATAAATTATGATTATGTGTACGGTATCATGTATGCTTTAAAGTCAAAGAAATATTTTTAAAGCTGCTCAGAACTGGTCCAAACTCTAGCGTTGACTATTTACAATTATTTTTATTGGTTTTGTTGTGTCTGTTACCAATTAAGATAAGACACAACTGGGTGCATGTAAACACAATATTCTAACCAAACACAAGTAAATGGTGAGTTTGTTAGAAAGAAAAGGGCTACCTTATGGTACTTTATAGCTGGTTCGAACAATATTTTCAGCTGATTCTTCAGTCAGGAAAAATACAAATAACAAATACAGCTCTATTTTCAAACTAGCAAAATCTACAGATAAAATAACCTAGAGACCTGTTTTAAAAACCATCACCTGCCAATATTCCGAAGATAACTGGGAACTGAGTGTAAAGCACGGGATTCCCAAGATAGAACAAGGAATATTTAGATTTGTAAGCAAACAGCCTCAATTAATAGAATGAAACTAAAAAAGAAAAATAACGTAAAATACTTATAACTGAGACCATATTTAAGTATTCATGCAATAAGAGAATATTTTTCAGGAAACAAAAACCGTCCTACCACCTGTGTTTTGAACTTTATTGCGAACGCTTTCTAAGCTTGAATGTAATTTACCAGATGAATGCACTCGCTGCGGGAAGTTTTAATTAAATAATTTTAATTGTCATTTAATTTTTAATTAGATTGTTTATTATCGTGTATACGTTTCTACCTCAAAACGTATACAATATTTGAACAGATGTAAACGTTTTATCTATCTTAAAGATATATTACATTTAGTTTGTTTGATTACTATTAGTGTTACCTCTTCATAGTATTTAATGTAAAACATGCACTTTAACTAATTAAACTGGATTTTGATGAAAGGGCTATTTTTATTGTTAGTTATCAGGAAATTTCAATGGTGGTTTGCTAATATTTTACGAAATAACTTAAAAGAAAATCATCATTTTTGAGGGTTTCCAAAAGCTGTATAGCAAATGAAATCACGTTAGTAGGAACAACGTGTAAATATTTTAAACGTTATATTATATTTTTTAACTATTTTGAGCGGTTGGTTGCTTTTAATCTTTTGTATATGTTGTATGAATCAAGGTCAGAATGTTTCTAGAATAAGTTTCAAACTAGAATCAAGTTTAAGCCATAACATTTTAGAATACTTTATATCGTAAAATCGTTATTTAACTTTGTGAGGAAAACTGTACTGATTACGATAAATGATATTCGTAACCGTGGTTAAGAAGTTTCATATGTTGATAGTATTTACTACATAACCATATAGATTTCTGAAGTATTTCTAAATGTTAGATGAGAAATGTCAAGGCAATAATTGATAAAGTTTAGTAGCACATGTTAGCCAAACTTCTGCTTTTCAACTATTCATATTAGCTGGAACACTTTGTGGATAGTAATTTATCCTTGCTGACCTGAATTGTAAGTTAAGTCACGAACTATTCATTATCCTCTAGGAACCATTGTGGCCAATACAGTTAAAGCTGCAAGGCTTGTTAATATAAATTATTCTAAATATGCACATTATGTAAATGACAAGCTTAAACTAGATAAATCCACGATAAATATAGATCATACAACGATTTTATATTCGTTTAATTGTAACGTAACATATTATTTTTAATTAATTTGTTATTCATATAAAATATATAGTTGGCCAGCTTAACTGAAAACACCATGAGGTTTTATTTATGTCATAAATATTATCATGAGTTTTTATTTTACTTTATTGTGTTATTATTTTTAAAACCAACTGTTATAGAATAAAGTTCTACTAAATATGGTAAAGATGGAGTATGGAGAGTTAAAAGAATCATTCCGAGACCCCGATATTGTAGGAGAGGCAAAAAGCAGAAGACTAAGGTGGGTTGGCCATATCTTGAGGAGAGCTTGTCGCAGAAGGTAGGTAGGGAAGATCCGAGGGGAAGGAGACCAGAAGGAAGATCAAAGACCAGGTGTTGGGATCAAGTGTTTATTTTCTTACACATATATTTGAATACCGTTCACTAAAATTAAACATATATTATTACTATGCTAAGGCTTAGCAAACGCTTGCAATAAATAAGTTTGCAAATAGTGATTGTTTTGAATCTTGAAATAATTACCAGAAATGATAAAATAATTATTTCTCAAACAGATTAGTAGGCTTCTTTATTTATTCCAAAGTCTAAACTGAATCTTCAAACAATTAAATTAATTCAATACAAAATATTTAACATGTGGTAAAACAAAACACAGTAGTTAAGAAAAATATAACAGTCAGATCAAAAGGAAAATCAATGAATTGAAAACATATTCAATAAAGTTCACAACATCCTCCCCCCATTTAAAATTGCTAAACAATTATGAGCAATTTTAAATCAGTAAAATCGCTGGGGCACTTTTACTTCTCTTCCACATCTGGTTTTCTTCTTAGCGAAATCAAAGACTTCGTTTTCAACTACTTCTTCTTCTTCAAGTGGTTTATTTTCTTTCGTACACTCTTTTTCACAAGCTGTGATTTCTAATGGGAAAAGTCTTTGTAGTGGTCTTGTCAAAATACCATTTCCAGTTTTTAGTCTTGCGACTCTGGAGAATCCATCTCTTCCTGGATATACATCTTGTACCAACCCCAAAGGCCATCTTATTCGTTTTGTGTTATCATCTCCTATCAATACAACTTCTCCAATAATGGGTTCTCTACTTTTCTTGTTTTTTCCATTGTGAACGAGTGTAGCCAAATATTCTTTCTTAAACCTGTCTCTTAGTGATCTTCTTAATTTGTTTATATAACGCACTCTTTTATTCAAACTTAGACACTCAATTTCATCCAAATCTGGTAATTCAGCTGTTGGTGTTGGTTGTAAGAATAAGGGGAGTTAATGGTTGTAAACAGTCATCATCATTCGAAAGATAAGTCAAAGGTCTTGAATTTACAGTTGCTTCACAATCACACAAAATTGTTGAGAGTTCTTCCTGTGTGACTGATGAATTTCCCAAGTTTCGCCGTAAAATTTCCTTTACCACTCCAATAAGTCGCTCCCACCATCCGCCCCACCATGCCGCTGAAGGAGGGTTGAACTTCCATTTAATCCTCTGGACAGATGAAAACTTTTCAATTTCATCCCAGTTGATCCGTCTGAGAAGATTACTTGTTCCAACAAAGTTCCTCCCGTTGTCTGAATAAATTGTGACAACACGACCTCTTCTCGCTGCAAACCGACGAAGAGCAGAAATGAAAGCTTCCGTAGACAGAGAAGTTGTAAGTTCGAGGTGGATCGCCCTATACACAGCACATGTGAACAGAACTATGTAAGCTTTTATACCTTCTTTTAAGAACAATGGCCCGGCAATGTCTACACCCGTTGTCTCAAAAACTTTTGAATCACTTATTCTTTCAAGTGGCAAGGGAGGGGGTGGACACTGAAGAGGTTTTCCTTTGTGTCGTTTACATATGACACATCTTGATATTATCTTTTTGACAGAGTTCCGACACCTCAAAATCCAAAATGTTTGACGTAAAATTGACACCAAAGTATTGATCCCAGCATGAAGATGTAGACGGTGCTTTTCTGCTATAAGCTTCTTCGTCATCTCATGGTTTGAGGGCAACAATATTGGAAACTTAAAATATTTGTCATCGTTCATTAAAGTCAATTTTGATTTCACTCTTAACAAATCATTTTCATCAGTAAAAGTCTGCATTTTGTTTCTTGATGTTAACTCTTGAGACGATTCCTTTTGTATACACCACAGTAATTTTGTTTCCGCATGTTCTATTTCTGATCCATTTAGTTCACCAGAAGTCTTGCTTCCTTTTAAATTGTTATAGAAACGGAATATCCAACCAACTACCCTGACGTTCTTTGTGAATCGATCAAAATAATTCAACTGATCAGTGAACTTAGGATCATTAACTGAAACAGATGAAACAACAGTTTTTCGCCTTTCTTGATCTACTTCATCTGCTGTTGCTATAGCTTCACTACGTGGCCATATGTCTTCTGAACGCTTTAGCCATTCAGGACCTAACCACCATTTATTTTCTGCCAAGGATTTTCCACTGCAGCCTCTTGAGGGAATGTCTGCTGCATTGTAAGCACCAGGGATATGACGCCAGTCTTCAACATTGGTATTGCGAGATATTTCATTGCATCTGTTTCCCACAAAAGTACTCCAGTCCCCTTTTGTCTTAATCCATGTCAGGCTAACCATTGAATCAGTCCAAAAATAGTATTTGCAATTAGGAATATTCAGGGTTGACTTTACAGAAACGAACAATCTTGACGCTATCAGTGCCGCTGTTAATTCTAAACGTGGAATAGTCAGAGATTTTGCAGGTGCCAATCTGGATTTGGCTTCAACAAGTTGGATTGTGACATTTTCACCTACTTCAACTCTTATAAAGATACATGCTGCATATGACATTTTACTCGCGTCACAGAATGTATGGAGACTTATGTACAATGATGGACCTACACAATCACTAAACCTTCGAGGAATCCTACAACTTGACAAATAGTGCAGGTCTTTTATCCACTTATCAAACTGTTGTAAGATATCATATGGTAGTTCATCATCCCAACTTAGTTTTAGCTTCCAAACCTGTTGTAGTAAAATCTTGGGGATCAAAGTAAATGGACAAGTGAATCCTATTGGATCAAATATACGATGAGATATCGACAATAAACTTCTTTTTGTGATTGGTTTATCAAAAATGCTTACAGAATTCACATTACAGTAAAGCTCATCTGATTTTACATCCCACATTAATCCTAAGACAGGAACCGAGTTGTCTGAGAGATACATATTCTTTTCTTCAGACTTGTATATTTCTTCTGGCAACGAAACATTACTTGCCCAACTATGAAGCTCAAACTTGGCTTTTGACAAAAGAAGCTGAGATTCTTCAACAAATCGATGAAGTTCATATTCACTCTCTACACTGGTTACACAGTTATCAACATAGAAAGACTCTTTCAATTTATTTGCCGTATCTTTCATAGTTTCAGGAGAATTCTCCAGATGATGAGCTAATGTAGCACTCAACAAAAATGGGCTAGAAGAAACTCCAAATACCACCCTACAGTGTCGAAACTCGGATATTTCTCCAGAAGCACAGTCCTTCCACCACAAAAATCTTAAAGCGTCTCGGTCACTTTCTGTTAAACTTACTTGCAAGAAAGCTTTCTTAATATCTGAAATAACGCCTATTGGGTGTTTTCTAAACTTCATTAGAAGAGCTGGAATTAGTTCTATTAAATTAGGTCCCTTTTCCAAACAAGAGTTAAGAGAATTCCCCCTACTATCGACAGCAGAAGCATCAAAGACTGGTCGAACCTTAGTAGTCAAACTGGATTCTTTGACCACAGCGTGATGAGGTAAGTAGTGTACAGGTCTATCAGTTACAGAGGACTCAACAACCCTTTCAATAATGTTTGAATTTAACCACTCTGAAAATACCTGATCATACTCATTGAACTTTTCTAACTTAATCAACTTCTTGGTCACTGCATGTAGTCGCTTCTCGGCTGTAACTTTGTTGTCCATAAGCTCCGGATGGCCTTCAATCCATGGAAGAGTCACCGCGTACCTATTTTCACTCTTTACTACAATAGTTTTGTTAAAATGCTCCAAAACATATGATGCATTCGCCTCCTTTGTTTTACTACCTGATGGATCAGTGATGCCCAAAACATCTAAACGCCATAGATCTGAAATGTCCATTTTAGCAAAGCAACTAATACTAATAAGTGACTGGTAACTTTTTCCACATTGTCCCATTACTGTCCATCCTAACACAGTCTGAACAGCAACCAGAGTGTGATCTAGCTGTTCAATTTTACCTGTGAGAAGTTGGCCCAAGATATCAGCTCCTAGTAGTAACTCTATTTCTTCTGCTGCATCTTGTCCAATATCTGAAAGGTATATATTCTTCTTCTTTAAAATGGGAAAATACCTTTTTGTATCTAATCTGGGTATGTAATTGCAAATCTTGTCTTGATCAAGCACATTAACTGAAATGCCAAATTTACCCTTTGTGTCACGTAACTCTACTTGGTAAAGATTATGTGGAGTCTCTTTAGTTTTAATACCTCCAAACAAACCATGAACTATTAATTCCTCCTTGGAACAAGAATCTGTTTAAATGTAACGTATTCGAGGAATAGAATAATTGAACCATGACATGATTCACATCGGTGGATTGTTATACTAGTTACTTCCTGAGGCAACTTGATGTGTTTCCCGCTAACAAAATCGCGATGTTCGTAACATCACTTGATGTTCAGGAAACTGTCTGTGAGTTTTAACAGTTGGTGACAAGTTTGTAAACAGTTTGGCTAAACTAAACACAACCACGCGGAGATAATAATGTGTCAAACATTCAAAGGTAGTTACCAGCAATACAATCAAGTTTCTTTATTGTTCAATATGATATATTATAAGAAGTCCATTATATGAAAAAAACAATGCGTCCATAAAGGATTAGTTATCTTATAACCTAAGGCAAATACTGGTAAAATGTATTTACACATGACCCTTCTTACAATTAACCTCACAAAAAGAAAATGCCATACAAAATACATATTTTGATCAACTTGTGATATTGATATATTAAGACATTTCAATCACACTACGGACAAAGTATGTACAAAATAAAAGATATGTTAATATTAATCGATTACAAACTCAGATAGTTTGTTGCAAACGTTTTCCTACAAAAGACTTAGTTAACTTATACATCATTTGCATAAAAAACCACATACATAAATTGAAAATGTGAACATTAGAACCATGTGCAATTACTTATTTACTATCACCACAACTGATGATAGTTATTGTGGAATTGGTCACTTTTATTCATACGCTCAACCGAATCAATAACAATTCTTAAATAGTTTAGTTAAAACTCTTTTGATATATATTGACAAATTGATCGTATTTTACGAAGCAATACACAAAATAATATCAACCCCAAATATAATCATTGTTTTGACACAGAAATTCGTGTTTTCTCTTCCAATATAAGCCACACGTCCGTTGTACGTGACTCGAACGTGTAAACGTAACTCTAAAAACAATATGACCCTGGTTCTAACAATAGCTGTCGAACACTAGTTATATGTAATCGTATATATATATCACTGTTGTGAACTTTATTGAATATGTTTTCAATTCATTGATTTTCCTTTTGATCTGACTGTTATATTTTTCTTAACTACTGTGTTTTGTTTTACCACATGTTAAATATTTTGTATTGAATTAATTTAATTGTTTGAAGATTCAGTTTAGACTTTGGAATAAATAAAGAAGCCTACTAATCTGTTTGAGAAATAATTATTTTATCATTTCTGGTAATTATTTCAAGATTCAAAACATTTTGGCGACCGTGACAGGACATTTTCTTTAATTTAAGACATCTGGGTTATTTAATAGTAGTTATATTAATATGGAAAGCCTAGAAAATATGAAAAAGAAAAGATCACAGATTAGAAGGCTATTCACCAAGGTTTATAATGAACTGGAAGAAGCATTTAATAATGAAGACCTGTCAATGAATGATAAAGAAACTCAAATAAAAGTCAACTTTTCTCAAGTTGAAGACAAAATAACAGCATTAATGGCAATGGATGGAAAAATCTCTGATGAAATGCTGATGAAAGATGCTTCTGATGCTGATCTGGACAATGAACTGGACACACAAGAAGAATACAAGAAAAAATGGTACCTGATGAAGGCTAAGTATGAAATGTTTCTTAAAACACCTACCAACAATGGTGAGTCAAACATTATTTACAAACCAAACCATAACTTTCATTTGCCTAAATTGCAATTACCTTCATTTGATGGGGATGTTAGGAATTGGATTGGGTTTTGGGGTCAGTACAAAAAGATTCATGAAGATAGTGAAATTAAACCTGAAGACAAATTTCAATATTTAATTCAATCCTTGAAACATGGTTCATCAGCTAGGGAATTAATAGATTCTTTTCCTCCTTCTGGTGAAAATTACATCAAGGCTATTGAGCAATTGAAATCCAGGTTTGCACGTGATGAACTTTTGATTGAAGTTTATGTAAGAGAATTACTAAATTTAGTTTTGAAACAAAATAACAGAAATATTAAAGTTTTAATACAATAATGGAAGTAATATTTCTATATGTTTCCCCTACTATTGTCATTTTCATGCTACGGTATTGTTCTATAAAGATTCGTGGTTTCATCAGGTCACAATATGGTTTGTGATACTATTGGACAAGTTCATTACGTTTCCGAGCGATAAGTGCTTGTGGCGAATATGTTCTTCCCATAGGTGAATATTGTTACCAGAGTTTGGATGTCTAATTGGACTTAGCTTGCAGGTTGTTAATGAAATTAATAAATGACATTATTGAAAACATATTATGCCGTTTTAAGAGTGGATGAAATCAAAAGAGTCATAGATAAACCAAACATTTTAGTTTAAGCTTTTCTACTTTAAGTAGTAGTATTTGTATTTAAGACGATTAATATACAATTATCACTAAAACCAACAATTTTGAACTATCAGATGGACAAAAACTAGCAAATTTTTACGCAAAATAATTAGTGAAAATAGAAAATAATCTTGAAACCTGTGAAACTAGTACTCTGAAAATAGAGCGTAATTGATAGTAGGAGCACATAGGGTTTGTCGCAAATTGACAATGGCGGGAAAACCACAGCTGACAAGATGATAGCTTGCCTTTGTTTGCTCATCGATGGAAGTGTTTAAACGAGGGAATTGAAAAACATATACATTAGAATTACTGCATTATTGAAACCCAATTCTAAAAAAAGTCAGGAAGAAATTAAGTTATGTTTATAAATTGGAATAAAGAACATTTGGCTTTGGCGTTGATAGTTTAGATAGACTATCTTTATAATACAGTAATATGAACATAAATCCTATTAAAATTAATTAAATGCTTCTTTTGAACAAAAGATGCTCTTTAAAAAGATAGATAAGATCGTAGTTTCAAAGATTAACCACAATAAAAGTTAAATTTGATGACTTCGTTCTAATATAGTGAAGTATGCTTCAGAAGTATTTGTACTGTGATGTTGGTACTACAGTTGCTCGAGTTGCCACGACTGGAGCGGCACAATCAGCTGTGCGCGTTGCTAGCTACAATCAATGCTCTGTAATTATTACTACACAACTCCTGTATTACTTTTCATAACATTTTTAATAAACGCCACTTGCTTAGCACTATATTACCAACCTTATTTTTAAACAAATAAATGACGTTACATTAAAGAATTGAGTTGTATAATACATCGTCTTCACTTGCAATGTTTTGCAATGCATTGAATTTTTTTGAAATAAAACCAATGTAGTACAAGTAAGTGGCCTTTCTTTTTCACACGATAAATATACTGGGGTGAAATGTAATTGATGGCCTGTAATGTTAGATTTACTGTCCAAGCCAAGTTTACCTACAGTATAAACAATGTTTACGAGCACCTTGGCCATATGTGATGGTTATTGCTGAGCCAATAGTACAAATGTACATATCGAGGTAATACAATCCTTCATATGTATTTGAGTGTTACAAAACAGCAGCTCCAGTAACTTGTTGTAGAATAGTTATTTTATTAGTGTAACACGGTTGTTGTACATTGATATTTTGATAATGACGTAAACAGTTAATTTAGGCTACTAAAATGTTTAGCCTGTTTACCTCCTTGTGATGATTGGAATTCATACTTGGGATTTAAACGCAAAAATAAAATAATGAAACTATTAAAAACTATAAAATATGAATGCGTAATATAAAAGGATATCTTATTAATCAACATTTTCACTAACTTCTCTAAAACAACGAAGGTTTTGAACAGCTAAGAATTGGCCTTTGTATTAATATTTATTAATACCATTGATCTGTGAATTATACAATAGTAACAAATCTGCTGTTATTGTAATATTATTTAAACAATGGTTGCATTTTGAATTCACAGTAGTTCATAATATAGTTTGGTAACATTTGTATTCATAGGTATTAGTTGATAATTCATAATCGTTTATACAATTGAAATCGCTTTAACCTGGTTTTCAGTGAACACAATGAGTTACTATAGGCTTTACATTTTAATTATGTAATAATATGGTGTGTTTTTATACATTTTTTTATACATTTATACATTTTATATCATTTATGCTATAATTTTAGCACATGGTTACATTAATGATTTTTTAAATACAGTATACCTTATGGGATTCTACATGAAATAAAATTGAGTATTAGTGCTAAAATAATTTTTCCAACCAACCCCGAGCTTTGGTAGATATCGCAGAGACAAAACGATTGCATATAACTGAAAATCCTACTCTAGTGGACATGTTTAACCATTGAATACGTTGATGTACGTAAAGTTATTTAATTATATTTGATATTTGTGTCTGAGGTTATCAGCCTAAACCCAATTAAATAATAAATCAAGTTATTAGTATCCAATAGACTTCTTATAATCTTACTAATATTATATATCATATTGAACAATAAAGAAACTTGATTTTATTGCTGGTAACTACCTTTGAATGTTTGACACATTATTATCTCAGTGTAGTTGTGTTGAGTTTAGCCAAACTGTTTACAAACTTGTCACAAACTGTTGAAACTCACAGACAGTTTCCTGAACATCAAGTGATGTTACAAACATCGCGATGACGTTAGCGGGAAACACATCAAGTTGTCTCAGGAAGTGACTAGTGTAACAATCCACCGATGTGAGTCATGTCATGGTTCAATTATTCTATTCCTTGAATGTGTTACATTTAAACAGATTCTTGTTCCAAGGTTATCTGAACAAGAAATCAAAGCTTAAAATTTTTAGGTAGTGCATTTTATAACATTTTTTAGCTTTACATTCGAGCAAGATATTTCCATCGTACCTACCATGCCTATTCACACAATTATACAAATTACGTTGAATTAGCATTCCGGGCTCTTATCTTTGACCAGTTCGTATGAAAAACCATGGAATACATCTTGTAATTACTTTGATTATTTTTTACGTTACGTTTAGCTATTTCAACTCCAGCTCTACCTTATGTTGCGTCACCCCAGCTGTTCCTGACACTGACGTTGAGATAATGTATATAGGAACTGAAACTAAGGTACAAATAACAAGCATCCTTTTATTGTATCTACTGTATGTGTATACATTGTATGTATGTTAAATACAAGCAAAAATCAATGTTGTCTTCAATACTTTTTTATTTGTTTACACAGTGAATTAGTTACATAACTGTAAATGTAATAAGTGTACTAAGCAGTTTCTACAGTTGATAAAACACCTAATTATGATTTCCTATTTTTTTTTTAATAATATTATGTGATCATAAAAAAAATAACGAGTAATAATATAACGAGTAAATTATTTTCAAATCAGAAACATCTAGGAATGATCTATTTGTTTATACCTAACTATATTTGTAGATAAATATATTAGAGAGAAATGATTAGTTTGAAGTAACATACACTCAAAATACCTCATGATCATTAATTTTAAATTTATTACACACAACCACACAAGTCATTTTCTGAGAGTATTATAAAGAGTATTTATGATTCGTTAAGTTCAAGTTATTATATCAGCGAGGTGTAAGTTGCCCAATTTCGATTGATTAACTATCCCAATGGATCTTCGTGGTTTGCCAACAAAACAATGTTATTCCATCAGCTGATGATCAAACAGCTGACCCATAGTAGCTAATCAGCTGATCGACAGGTGAATCCTATTAGTGATCACGTGACGTCTAACACCGAGTATTGGAATGGAATGTTTACGTTTTTACGCTGAACTACCAATTGCAGATTCAGATGGTTAATTTGATTTGAAGAAGATATTTATACATTCTAAATGTCAAGTGTGTGTTTTAAAACACGAATGATAGACATCAAACAAATTAACTTTGCTTATAGCGAAGAAAATATTTCAAACCCACAAATGCAAACATTTAGTGACTTTTAAAACGATTAAACATGTAACCTTACAGATTACCTTGAACAGTTCAGACTTCTAGCATGACTCATGATTTAATATTGTGATTGCATTGTAAACCTCGTCAAAATATAAACAGGATTAGGGCCCAAGCAATTGTTCCTTTAAATTGCAAGTATGTTGGTACAATTGAAGACTTCTAGCATGACTCATAATTTAATATTGTGATTGTATTGTAAACCTCACCAGAATATAAACAGGATTAGGGCATAAGGCATTGTTCCTTTAAATTGCAAGTATGTTCGTACAGTTGAAGACTTCTAGCATGAATCATAATTTAATATTGTGATTGTATTGTAAACCTCGTCAGAATATAAACAGGATTAGGGCATAAGGCATTGTTCCTTTAAATTGCACGTATGTTCGTACAATTGAAGACTTCTAGCGTGACTCATAATTATCTAATATTGTGATTGTATTGTAAACCTCGTCAAATTATAAACAGGATTAGGGCCTTAGACATTGTTCCTTTAAATTACAAATATGTTTGTACAATTATTACTCTACAAAACTGATTTACCTGTTATAAACATTCTGTTAACACAACTATTACTTTAACTGAGGCATGATGAGCAGACAGCTTATCTGATGTTGTCAATAATATTTACAATGTCGTAACCAAATAGCTATGACAGCAATTCATTGTTATCAGATCCGGAAGATGACATTCCGGGCTATATGACTGATAGGAGTCTTGATAGGCTTTTAAACGTTACTCAAGGGTTACAACCGTGCACTTAGTCAGTAATATGAACATAAACCGCTATCACAATGTTGTTAGTTTACGGTCTGCTCCTACTGAGTGTCCAAATTGTGTTACAGGCGCGACAATGTTACGGGTTCACGCTGAGTTGGGGCCGTAATACACATCGAACATGCAGCCCCATCAATATGTTAGTAAGTTAAATCACTTTTATAAACTAAATTTATAAGTAAATTAACTTTAAGTTTAAAAATTTGGTAACATTCCATGTCATGGGTTTGTAAAATTGCTAAATCACTCAGTATTTAGATTGAATCTGTGAGAAAACTATTATCACTACTAATAATGATCTGTTTGCTTGTTTTATGAAGTAAATAAAATATAATCCTAATCTCAACAATTATCTTTTAAAAATAACATGTCCTTAAAAAATACTTCAAAACTTTTTAACTGTCCAAAACATTTTATATAATTCAAGTTTATTACTACACAATTTTTTGGCGTAACAGATGCTATTAAAATAATTGAAACCAATTAACAAATACTATTGGATCTAGACATCAGTACTAACAATTCTGGACAATAACCTCTTTTTATGCATTATTTTGAAAGTAAAATTAACTTTAATGTCCCTTTATTGTTATCTAGTGTACGCATACGGAGCAGTGCTGTTCTGGTGTCTGTGTTCACCGGATTTACATTTACGTGATAAAGGTGAAGCAGTGTACAATGCTGGATCACCTGGAGCTGATGAGTCCTGAAGAACAGCTGACATACTTGCAGAGTGAAGCTGTCCGTGACAACCTCACCAGGTGAGACTTTACGTGACTATGTCACATAACAGAATATACAGAGCTCAATGTCAGTAGATGGGATACTACACAGCTTATATTAACGTCCATCATTCGTACATGAGTATATCACAAATCGACAAAATATTCAAAGCGTGCAGTTGATAAATTACTAGACGAGAGAAGAGGTACGAGAAAATGTATACAGAGCGTAGGTTACATTGAAGTTAATAAGTGAGATATTTAAACCATACCTTAGATAACGACTTCAGAGAGTACGCAAAGCGTAGTTAACATAACTATATGGTAAGTACAGAGAGTAAATTTATTGGACTTCATTAATAGGTGAGAAATAAGTTCGTAGCTAACAACTATAAAAAAGATTGAACAGTGTTAATTAGAGGGTCTATAGAAGCAAATTACGACAAAAACATATTATACACTTTAATAAAACTATCTAGTTTAAATAAGAAGTCAACGTTTTATGGAGTTTTCTTTATTTTTAATAGGTATTTTATTTACCTGTTCCAGCAACAGTATGTTAGGATTTATGATAGTTTCCAATGACTCCAACCCATTTTACAACTGTCTTAATTTTCTATAAATAATTGCATAAAATTAGGTAACAATATTCAATAGTTAAGAAATTAAATATAATTATTTTGGCTAAACATGTCGTGGATATGTTTTATACAGGCTGGGAGGACGATTGAAAATGGTGCAAAACCCTGAGGATATTGACCCCAGCCATCCCTTGTCACTTATTACGCTGAACGATGGTGAAGATATAACTAATAATGGAGAAGTTAAGGTTTAGTTTTAAGTTACGTAAGTAAACACAAGGTATCAAGGAGTAGGAAGTCAGGTTGACAAGTAGTCAGGTGAAAAAAAAAAACTATAAATATTACCATAGTGGATGGAAACTAACAAATGTTTTACGATAGAACTCACGGGCTTTTCATAGTTGGAAATATGCTCTTTGCCATTTGATGTTGCAAAGTTAATTTGGAAAGCTCATAAAATTAGATTGCATTAAAATTGCAATCGGGATTGAATTCGTTAAATAATAATTACAAAAATGAAACAAATGTTTCATGAAGTTAATACAATGGAGCTTGGCTAGTTACCAAGTCGAGTTTTTCGAAATCATTTTTTCTAAAGAAGATTCGACATATCTGCATTTTTGGTCCCTTTATACCCTTGCGCTACAATATATGATTATAGGACGAGGTTTCACAATGTTTTAATATCAAACGCTGTAGCACTTTTAATTAAATTCTCCATTCATACTTATTTGTTTAAAGTTACACTCATAAAATACGATGAATAAACCAATGTGGTCTGATAAGACTTTTCTAGTAACTGAACAATAGTACATTTTCATTAAAAAGTAGATAAGTCTCAATAAGATATAACAAAATATAAACCTATAAATGTGTTGAGTATAACGATGCCGTTTTATGTAGTTTAAGCTAATATTTGCCATCGATATTTAACGGAGGTGTAATGCAGACAACTTATAATTTTTGAATAGTTATTAGTGCCCTATTTGAAAAGTACAACTAAAAGGATTCTGATCAAACTGCTAAGCAATAAATTAGTTGTGATGATGTTATACCATAACTCTGTTTTCCTTTTTAGTAATAGCTCATTAAAAAAATAGTTTTAAAGGTTTATTAACCAAGGGGATCCAATTAAATTTCAAATACAATGTTTTTCCTGTTTATTATGTTTCTAAAAGGTTTTGGACTTTTTTAAGTTCATAGACCTGAAAATACGGCAATACGAAATCAAACGGATTTTTTACTGAGCATGCTGTTATATTTTTGCCTTTTTATATAGGATATGATATTCTTTTATTCCAACGATGATACTCAATAAACACCCAATTAGAGTGACAAGTCTAACAGACATGTTGTTACGGTTACAGCGTAATATTGTGGTGATTGCAAGTCATGCATATTTAGGCCTACCTTTACAATACAAATTCTGTACCTATTTTATACATGATTGACATTTTTTTAATAATAATTTTCAAATTCGTATTGTACATTAAGGCCAACTACTGTTGAATTCGTCCTTGAATTTCATCCCTAACAGCTATCAATAATTAGCCACTGATAAAATGATTTTTTAAACCCTTCTGTATCGACAAAGATGATACATACATAAATGGCAAGTATGTGCAAGAGTTTGTGTGATTTCACAAGTACAACGAGATGGAGCCAGAAATATTCGTCATCCTGGTGGGGTGGATACCCATCGATTATCATATTGATGTTACAACAAAATTTATCATCTGCTAGCTGAGCAACCTTTCCTTTCATAGATTGTGTTTTTAAAATTGTATAACCAATGCAAAACTTAATTTTGAAGTTTGTACCAAGCCTCGTACAGCACCGAAAGTGAAAATGTAACTCATGCACCTACCACTTTGTTTTTACAAATATTACTTCTGCCAAAAAAAATCTAAATTGTAAATTGCAAATCAAAATATTTAAATTTGAACGAAAATATTTGGCAGTTTCAGAATTTCTGATAATTTCACAGATGTATCACATACACTAGGTATCCATTGATAAGTGGTACCAGGGACATTAATAAACGAACAAGTTATTTAGTTGTTTACTACATTTCCCAACGTCTTATAACATTAGACCGTAAGTATTTTAATTCCATCAACTTTCCTATGGTTAAAAGAATAGAGTTTCGTGGAATAAATCGCAAGTTATTTACGTTAAGTTAATTGATTTGTATATTTTAAATGAGTTTCCGTTTTGGAACAAATAAAATAAAATGAGATCATTTAGATGGACTACATCAATATAGTGTAATTATTACCCGTTCCACAGAAGTTTTCTAATTTTAGTATAGGTATTGTGTTTCGATGTTTTGTGTGTGTTGAAGTTAAAACCGCCTTTTAATAACACATGAATGCCATTAGTAAGCTCACAACGAGCAATATTTTCAATATTGTTGAACCTCAAATTCTTCGAAATATTCTATTAGATATTAATGATAATATGTACGTTAAATCAATACGTAAAATTACACAGCTTTCAATTTACCATGTATTTTGCTGTCACAAAGATTTTCTACATTCGCCAGGTTAAAGCTGAATCAAACTATGTTCAGTTACAAACAATAGGTTGAATGATACAACATTCCAAAATATAAACGTACAAGAGGTTTTATGATTTGATATGATAACCATGTAACAATATGCTTAGTGAATTAAGTCCCTTCCCATTTTGATATTTATTTTGCATATACAACTAAGTAGATTTAGCCTACCTACTAACAGATTGTGCTGTTGCAATACTGTTACCAAAACTCAACATTGTATCCTTGATAAACCGAACGGGCATTATTTAAAACTACAGTAAGTGTATTTATGTCTACATTAGTGTTAATAGTATGAAACGCTTTTCATCGTGTTGTATATATATTATGGCATATACTACTGTAAAAAAATCATGCTATACTGAAGTAACAATATTAAAAGGAATCCTGCTGTGCAAGTGAATCTTGGACACGTAGATCGATACTCAGGCCATTTGTCTTTGTCTCATCGAACTGGGTGATTCATGGTCAAGAAATTAAAGGCGTAAGGATACAGTTTGAATCAAAAACAATAAAAAGTGTTTAAAAGTTCCAATAGTGAATTGAGTATTCGTCCATCCAAGTATATATTTATGTAAGTATACACAAAACAATTAAATGCATCACGCATAAGTTGTGACTGTTAATCCACGGATAAACCATTTCAATGTGAATAGTTTGGAAATATTTATCAGTCCAAACTATTCTGCTTCGAGTGAACCTGTGCTGAAAAGGCAAACTAATGTACTGAAAATGTGAATGACACAACTACAACTAAATAAGAAACTGGTAAATCGTTACTGTCAAACTAAACACTAGTTATTGCTGTATATATTTTACCAACACTAAATCCTAACCTAAATACTGAGTAATATCCCATGTAATACTCCATGTAATATGAGCTAACCAAGAAAAGCTTAGTACAGTATGTGGGCATAACAGCCATAAATGGTACTGAAACTTTTTCAAGTGTTTTAAATGCAGTCACTTTTTGAGATATTAAATGAGGTAAAATGTGCGAGATTTCAGTAAACCCGTTAAGTTACAAACTCATTAAGGTACTACAGTTCGTCAGACCAAGACGTTAGATGAGTTACGGCTTGTCAGTACGCGACCTGCATCTCAAGAAGATGTTTAGGATATTACATCTCAAACGCAACGACCTTCCATCATGTAGCCTGTCTGTAAGAGACGTGTCTTGATATATTAACATATCGGAGGGATGAGATAAATAAGATCACAACTAGCTGGGTTTAACTTGTACTAGTATCATAGGATACTAGGACTAACTTTATTTGTACTGTAGTATAGACTAGAATACGAATAAAGTTTGTGCACACAATGATTTTAAAAATGGCTCCAACGATTTCATCTAAATGCTTATAAATATATTAGTTTGTTGCTAAAAATAAGACCTGGGCTGTGTTACGGAACAATTTGAGTTACAATAAAACGTTCAAATGAAATGTTTATACTTTTAACAATAATCTTATGGGCTGCCACGTATTCATGCTGGTTTTAGGTTACCGTAAACAAACGCAAGTAAAGTCGGCTAAGACATTGACAGTTAGCAGATTCGTTAACTAATCCAGTATAAAAAAATCCCACTTTAGACTTTCTTTATGTGGTCCATCCTTAGACATTGCAATAGTTGTAATTCGGTAGAAAAAGTCTGAAACTGAAACACTCGGAATGCCTGATTATTTTCAATTTCTCGTTCAAAAAGTGCCAAACTGCATTATTTTATTTTCATAGTGTAGAAGATCAATTTACCGCACACCACTGGCCAATGGTCTAATCATAGCCGAGTGACGTCATCCACAACCCCTGAGTCACGTTACCACTAATGGACTCAGCTTGTTGGTCAGATGATGACACATCTGTCTCTTGGGATCAGCTGATTGGTTACATGTTAATGTTAAGTCTACTGCTTGTGATCTTCAAAGTATTTATCGTTTTAAAATTTTATATGAAGTAGATTTTCTTAGCTGATAAGAATAAAAAAGAACAAAAATAGTGTTTTCTCACACAAGGTAGCTAGTGCAATCAAAATTTCGTTATTTTTGAAATAAATATAACATTACAATTAGTAGGCCTATATAAAAATCTACTTTAAAAAGCTGTACGATTTTGATGGGTTTTACGAAACAAAGTGTGCTACAGGTGGCTGTTAGCGTTTAATGTGTATGCAAAATACTCCGGTTTAAATATACTTTGTAAAGCTAAAATAGGTGGTCGTCGTCTGTAACGGCAGTGGCACCAAAACGTCGATTACGATCGCGTTATACACATCAGTGTCCAATCCATCGATGGTTTAATTTGAAGAATTAAATAAAATGAAATGGTAAAATGTTTCACTACAGAAGATCTACAAAAAGACATTAAATAATCAATGACGGTGTAAAAACACATAAGGAGATTTAGTAGTCAGAATACATTTACTGTGCCTAAACAATGTGTATTGTTATTTATATAGGTTAACTCTAAGTCATAACGTGTCTTTAATCATAACATGATAATTTAAAACACAGCTTTGAAACTGCTATGTTGTCAGTAAGTTTTTATTTACGACTGGTATATTCAGGTTAGTTCTGAAAGCTTGAAGACGTGGTTTGAAAACTCAAATAAGTTTAATTACTTTTTATTGGTGAGTGCCAATTTACACTGAGTTTAAGACCTGTGATGTTTCCTTGCCGGGCCAAGTAGCCAGCCGACCTTTTGCTTTAGGTAATCATATCTAGTCAAAAAATTAAAACGTTCT